GAGATGTGGGGCGGCATGGTCCTTATGATTCTCCTCCCCCACCAGTCTTTCATTTAGGTTCATTTTTGCTTCTGGCACAACATACGCTCTTCGTGGTTCTCAAATGTAAATGAATTGAATGTTCACCTTCCATCTTCCTGAACTGCTTTACAAAAGAATCTTCCTTTAAAGGCACAAAGTCCTCAAGGTCGTAGCTTTCTAATCTATTCCTGAAAAATCGTTTCCATTTTGTGCTAGTTAAAAATTGAATGCATTGCATTGGCGCCGAATCATTTTCTGTGTGAAAAAAGAAAAAAAAATTGAATGCATTTAGGAAGGATTTCTTCTTATTGATTAAATTGACCTTAAAAAAGTGATTTGATTTGTGCTTCAAGTGGAGTGGGCAATACAAAAAAGAACTATTTGGTACCCTATGTAAGAAATAAGTGTGAGGAAGGCACGATTTCTATTATCCTTCACTGAGGTCAATTTGGCAAAAAACTAAAATGTCCATGTTCTATTTCCTTTAATTTACTCAGAATACTGATTCCCAAGATTTTAAAAGTGAGTTACAATTTAATAGAATCTCAACCTATTTAATTCGTACAGTGCTTTTGTGACTCTCAAACATAATTTTATTTTTTCAACTTTTATTTTGGATTCAGGGAATACAAGTGCAGGTTGTTAGCTGTGTATACTGCATCATGCTGAGGTTTGGAGTACCAATGACCCCATCACCCAGATAATGAGCATAACGCCCAATAGTTTTCCAACCCTTGCCCCACTCCTTCCCCGAGTCTCGTGTCTACTGTTGCCATCTTTCTGTCCCTGAGTACCTAATGTTTAGCTCCTGTTTGTAAGTGAGAACATGGGCATTTGGTTTTTTGTTCCCGAGTTAATTTGTTGTTCGTAATAGGATAATGGCCTCTAACTCTATAAGGACAAGCTTGCTTTCTTTTATATGGCTGTGTCAAACATGATTTTAGATCTATCCTCTATCTTCCCTGCATAATTGGTTAGGGAGTTTGTCTCATTATTCTTCCCAGCCTTATGACCTTGTACAAAGATCAAACTTTGGTCAGAGTTCAATTCAAACATCAGCTCTTACTAATGTAGCTGGGCCACCCTACCCTACTGGAATTAAACAAGTTTTGGGTTATCACTGTTTTAGTACCTTTAACCTGGACACATCCTACCCAGCTACAATTTGAGATGGGGTCTCACTCTTTTACCCAGGCTGTAGTGCAGTGGTGTGATCTTGACTTACTGCACCCTCCGCATCCTGGGCTCAAGCAATTCTCTACCTCAGCTTCCCAAGTAGCTGGGATTACAGATGCCTACCACCACGATGGGCTAATTTTTGTATTTTTAGGGACGGGGTTTCACCATCTTGGCCAGGCTGGTCTTGAACTCAGGACCTGTGATCTACCAGCCTTGGCCTCCCAAAGTGCTGGGATTGGCATGAACCACCACACCTGGCCCGGCTGCAATTTCAAGAGAAATATGCCTTTTTTTTTTTGGCCCAGTCGGTGTGCAGTGGCACAACTGCAGCTCATCGCAGCTTCAAACTGCTAGGCTTAAGCAATCCTTCTCAGTAGCTGGGACTACAGGCATGCACCACTGAGCCTTATTTTGTTTGGCAGATGGGTCTTGTCCTGGGCTCCAGCAATGCTTCTGCCTCAGCATCCCAAAATGTTGGGATTACAGTCATGAGCCACCACACCTGGAGATTTTAACATTTTAGGCAAGGCACACACCTGCAGCAAGTGGGAAAGCCAGCTTCAAGAGAACTTCCATTTCTTACCATCTTTTTCCACTTTGTCCATCTCTCCCTGCAACTCTCTCCAACAAGGGTCCATTGTATGAACTGTGCACACTACCTTTTTCTATGTGCCTTACCTACTATGCTTACTCTTGAAAACTTCCTCCAGGGACATCTTCAAAAATAGTCTGCATTTCAATTTTGGTTACATTTCTTTTTGTTTTTTAAGATGGGGTTTCTCCATGATGGCCAGGCTGGTCTTGAACTCCTGACCTCAGGTGATCCATCCACCTCGGCCTCCCAAAGTGCTAGGATTACAGGTGTGAGCCACCACGCCCGGCCAATTTTGGATACATTTCTATGACACTCATCCAATGGCCTATGGCCGTGTTTACACGGATTTGCTATGCTTTAGAAGGCAATTACTTTTATTCATCATTGTCTCCCCTGGGTCCAGCTAGCATGGCACCTGTTACATTAAAAATTCATGTTTTCTGACTGAATGTTCAATAAATACCATTTTAACTAACAACTCAGAGCCTTTTTCTTTTGATTATTTTAAAACAGGTTTCATTCATCCTTTAGTATTTCAGATGATGTCAGAAAATGAAAAATGAGGCTGGGCGCAGTGGCTCACGCCTGTAATCCCAGCACTTTGGGAGGCCAAGGCGGGTGGATCATGAGGTCAAGAGATCGAGACCATCCTGGCCAACATGGTGAAACCCCGTCTCTACTAAAAATACAAAAAATTAGCTGGGCATGGTGGCACATGCCTGTAATCCCAGCTACTCAGGAGGCTGAGGCAGAAGAATTGCTTGAACCCAGGAGGCGGAGGTTGCGGTGAGCCGAGATCGCGCCATTGCACCCCAGCCTGGGTAACAAGAGCGAAACTCTGTCTCAAAAAAAAAAAAAAAAAAGAAAAAATGAACATTTTCCTTTTTCACCTAAAGCCTATTAATCTAAAGCCTTTGCTGTGAATGAGAGAAAAACAACCCTATGGTATTTTAATAAGAGCCAAGAAGCTAGTGATTTTTTTTGATTACTGTTTTACAACTATGTATGTGTGTGTATGTATATATACATATATAAAAAATTTTTTTTTTTGAGATGGAATCTCACTGTTGCCCAGGCTGGAGTGCAGTGGTGTCTTATCGGCTCACTGCAACCTCTGCCTCCTGAGTTCAAGCAATTCTCCTGCCTCAGCCTGAGTAGCTGGGACTACAGGCATGTGCCACCACACCCAGCTAATTTTTTTTTTTGAGACGGAGTTTCGCTATTGTTACCCAGGCTGGAGTGCAATGGCACGACCTTGGCTCACCGCAACCTCCACTTCCTGGGTTCAGGCAATTCTCCTGCCTCAGCCTCCTGAGTAGCTTGGATTTTTTTATTTTTAGTAGAGACAGGGTTTCACCATGTTAACTAGGATGGTCTCGATCTCTTGACCTCGTGATCCACCTGCCTCGGACTCCCAAAGTGCTGGGATTACAGGCTTGAGCCACCGCACCCGGCCAATTTTTTGTATTTTTAATAGACGTGGGGTTTCACCATGTTAGCCAGGATGGTCTCAATCTCCTGACCTCATGATCTGCCACCTTGGCCTCCCAAAGTACTGGGATTACAGGCATGAGTCACCATGCCTGGCTTACAACTATATTTCACAAATAATTACATTTTACATATCAGCTTATCTTTTATATATTTTACATAGTCTTGTCTTAGCAAAGTCAGAAGTTGTCCGATAAAATAATGTTAAATTAAAAACAAAAACAACAAAAACAACCCAGGAGAGGGGAAGTGGCTCAAGCCAGTAATGCCAACACTTAGGAAGGCCAAGGTGAGGGAGTTGAGCCCAATTTGAGACCAATCTGGGCAATATGGACCCCATCTCTATTAAAAAAAAAAAAAAATAGGGCCGGGCGCGGTGGCTCAAGCCTGTAATCCCAGCACTTTGGGAGGCCGAGGCGGGTGGATCATGAGGTCAGGGGATCGAGATCAACCTGGTCAACATGGTGAAACTCCGTCTCTACTAAAAATACAAAACATTAGCTGGGCATGGTGGTGTGTGCCTGTAATCCCAGCTACTCAGGAGGCTGAGGCAGAATCGCCCGAACCCAGGTGGCGGAGGTTGCGGGGAGCCAAGATCGCACCATTGCACTCCAGCCTGGGTAACAAGAACGAAACTCCGTCTCAAAAAAAAAAAAAAGAAAAACCCTTGGTTTTTTAGATAAACTGCCTGACACCATTGTTGAAATTGTATCATTTTGTGTGTGAGTGACACGAATTTTAGAAAGATACAAACTTTGGGTTCTAAAAGGTGACTAAACAAAACAGGCACTTTAAGATCATAGTGGTATGGGTATCAGGATGGTGTGGAGAAAAATATAAAATCGGCATTTATATTTTTACTTGTAAAAACATCAACAGCTAAGACATGTAATGCTTACTAAGTGCCTTCACGTTTAACCATAACCCTCTAAGACAGGTTCCAGTATCTTCACTTTACAGGAGAGGAAACTGGGCACGGAGAGGTTAAGTAATTTGTCCATGAAGGTCACATAAGAGGAGTTGGGGTTCAAGTAAAGGCAGTCTAGTTACAAGCACTATGGACTTGTCACACTGCACTATCCTACTCTGGCAAGAAATTAAGTTGCTTTCTAGAACGAATCCCTATTCAAATGGCATGCATATGATTCACTTGAAAAAATTAAGACCAATCACCATCTAGATGAAACCTTTGTTTCAGAAATACGTATCCTATGTATTTTGAGATGATTAATAGTATTTCCGGTTTACTGTAATAAATATTTGTCAAAAATAGCAACCATCTCAGTAATATACGGACTTCCTTCCCTTCACTAAAGACTTCCAAAAATAACACTTCTATATCAAAAAACTTAACTAATGTCTTAAGAAAGTAATGGTGTAGCAATGCACAGAAGTAAAATTCTGCTGGGGAAATTAATGAAGCATTTTCCCCATTACACTTTTGGGTTGATACATTTCACTAAGACAGAGCTAGTTTTGTGTTGCTCTGCCTTTACTGCTTATTCTGCGAGGGAATGCAAGAAACCAAGTCTTAGGAGAAAAACTGCTTTCATATTTAAGTGTAAGCTACAAACAGGCTTTTCTATAAAGACCTGAAAGCTTGAAGAAATGACAAAAGCAAGCTGTATTCAATTAGACAATTCAATAAATATACAAAAATAAATACCTAGCAGTCATGAATATATTGTATTTCTTGAAAAAGCAACAAATTGCATGCTTTTAATATTTTATCTTGAGAATACTTTTAAGAATATTTCCTTTTGTAACATTCAAAAGTAAAACACATACATGATTCCATCAAGGATTCTCAGTGTGATTAATATTCTGTGCTTTCCTAAAAATAGGTCAAACATGACCACATCTATATTGGAAAGAGCACTAAGAAGCAATAGCAGGAGAATGCATCAACTGTGTCTGTTTCAGGATTAGCAGTTTTGTTAAGTTTAGCAGATCAATGTAACAACAACAATCACTTGTTTCCAAATACACAGACTTTTCTCACTGGCTCTTCACTCATCAATCACACAAGTGCTAAGTCTTAAGTATTTAAAAATCAAAAGACTGCAGGTGACTTTTGCCTTCTCTTTGGTCCCTTTATCAAAGCCCTAAATTACTTTAAAACACTTTTTAAATTTTAAAACACATTCTCGTAACACAAACTTTAGTTTTCACATTCATTAAAACATTTTAAAATCACGCACATGTGAGAACTGGAAATGTGTGTGCTTATTGGGAGAGGACTACTGCATTTATTTTCCAGAAGAAAAAGCAGACCTGAGGCATCACATTACTGGAACATTTAAACATAATGACAGGTTCTTATCTTCTAAACTTCAGTGAAAGTTGCTTGTACAAACTATTTAATGCATATCTGCCTATGAAACAAGCAAGATGTCTGATGTAGTAGAGAAGCCAGAAGCTCAGTCACTTCATTTCTTTCTGTTGCCTCCAGTTGCGAGCATAGTTGCAACTCGCATAAATATATTTAATGTGTCCATGTAGATTCCCAGCATCCTAGAAAAGAAAATTATGCCCATTACATATGATGCAATTCTAATAGCAATGATGAATTCTTAATATAGAAAAGAAGAAAAAGCAATACTATTTGTCCTGGTGATACAACATGAAAATTAAAAATGTATTAACTGCCTACTAAGGAAGTCTTAGATTAGAAAATAGTTAAGGTCTTTTTTTCTGGCAGACTAATCTTTTAAATGTTAAAGAGCAGTTTAAAAAATTATTACTTTATTTTCTGACACTCTGCATGTATCAACTTGCAAAAAAAAACTGGGTGGCAGACAATAAAATAATCAAAACAACACCGAAGAAACACCCTTATTAAAACCTGTTAGACACAAGTCTGGCATTTAATAAATCCACTTTACTCCTCTAAAAAAAACTTCTACAAATCTGTAAGCTTTACAGCAACTTTTCCCTCCAAAGCCATTACATTTTTATTTTTAGATAAGGAAAAACAAATTACTTTAAAAAAAAAAAGTGACAGACACCATGAAACTCAAGAAAATTGTTTAAATAAAATAACCTACTTTGGTAGACTCCAAGAAAAAAGAAAAGAAAAAAAATTATAACAATGCCAACCAAAGTTGGCTATTTCTGAAACTAGAATCTTTACACTGAAGTTTCTAATTTCTAGAAGTATAAAAATGGCTTTCATTAAAAATTCCAATTATATACATTTTCCAATATATAATACTTGATTAACACATTTCATTTCTTCAGTTTGAAAATCTGTAAAAATACACTACCAAAAAAATTAACTGACCAGTAAGAGCACATTATTTATTGAACCCCGAGGCTAGCTCATAAAAATAGACAAAATACTCCCATAAGAGCACCGTGTGAAACAGGAGGGAGAGACTGGAATGATTCATCTACAAGCCAACAAATGTCGAGGACTCCCAGCAGTAGCAAGAAGCTGAGGCAGGGAACAGGTTTTCCCGCAGAGCCCTCAGAAGTACATCTCTGCTAACACCTTGATTTTATATTTCTGACTTCCAGAACTGCAAGAGAATTAAGTTTTGTTTTAAGCCACCCAGTCTGAGATATTTTGTTACAAACAGTAGCCCTAGAAAAACTAATACAGCCATAAAACAAAACAGGTTAAACAAAGGCATCCTTATGTGACAGAGTACAGTGTGAAATAAAAAGCATTACTCACGAGTTAATGGGATCATATTTTTGAACTCCATACATTGGTGTTACTTCTGCGCGCCTGATTACTTTCTGGGTATCATACAGAAGGAACATGCTGAAAAGAACTAATCCACCATACATTGCCACTGAGTACAGAGTGGCACCAGCCACAGTGGTAGGTGGAAGAAACATAGATCCTGAAATCAAAATGGGAAAACAATTAAGATTTTTTTTTTTTTAATAAAGGATTTCTGATAACTGAGTTTAAGATTTATATTACTTAAAAAAAATCTCCCTGGTATACCGTATAGGTAAGAAGACACTCGGGTATACTTACTGCCCAACCTTATTTACATTAGTTCAAAATCCATGATACTCATTCCTCTAATGCAGGCGTCGCCAAACTTTTTACACAGGGGGCCAGTTCACTGTCCCTCAGACCGTTGGAGGGCTGCCACATACTGTGCTCCTCTCACTGACCACCAATGAAAGAGGTGCCCCTTCCTGAAGTGCGGCGGGGGGTGGGATAAATGGCCTCAGGGGGCCGCAGTTTGGGGATGCCTGCTCTAATGAGTCACTTGCCCATTTCACAAGAAGGTTCTTGCATCACAGCAATATTCACATTTTTCAGACCAACTTTCCCATTTTAGACGTGTTTGGTAAAACCAGTAATAATGGTTAACTATGTTGCCATGATTTTTATATGATGCCAGGTAGTAAAATCCAGTTAAAATAGCATAAATCTTTTTTTTTTTTTTTTGAGACGGAGTTTCACTCTTGTTACCCAGGCTGGAGTGCAATGGCGCGATCTCGGCTCACCGCAACCTCTGCCTCCTGGGTTCAGGCAATTCTCCTGCCTCAGCCTCCTGAGTAGCTGGGATTACAGGCACGCGCCACCATGCCCAGCTAATCTTTTGTATTTTTAGTAGAGACGGGGTTTCACCATGTTGACCAGGATGGTCTCGATCTCTTGACCTCGTGATCCACCCGCCTCGGCCTCCCAAAGTGCTGGGATTACAGGCTTGAGCCACCACGCCCAGCCCCATAGCATAAATCTTTAAAAGAACTTTTAAACTAAATGACTCAATGAATTAGGATACTGGAGTATTTCAGATTACAGGAAACTATGCACCAAGAGTTAGGCATGAAAACACAGCCACTTACCAAGTGAGGACACAAAAACGAGACCCAGGCCCACTCCCAAGGGTGCACCCATGTTCAGAAACTTTTCACTGGGTGCGCACATGGCCACAGTGGAGAGGCCTCCCACAATGCCAGCTGTGTACCACGCAGCTCTGATGAGAAGAGGACCCCCTAATATCGTCAGAGGAGCAACCACTGCACCCATCACACCTGGAGAAAGAGCAAGTGCTCATTAAGTATTTCCTAACAAAAACCAAAAGGAAAATATCACTTCTAACTGCTACTTTATATTTTACCTTACTGTTTAAGCACTATGATTATAAAAAGTTCTGCCTTTAGATAATAATACCCCACCAAATTCTACAATAAAAACTGGTGACTATTCAAATTATTAACAGTATTCCGAATCAATCACAACTCACAAGCAAACACTAATCTACATTTTTAGTAACCATTAAATTACACGTAGCTATTTGAATCTTAGCTTACCACCGGTTTCTACAGCATTCACATAAGAATTGAGATAAACAATCTTAAAACAAATAACTCAAGGCCAAACCCACTGCTGCTAAAAGGGAATAAAGTAAAAGGAGAGAAAAAGCCTAGGATGATAATCTTAAAATGTGGGAACTTCTAAGACAGACATTGCTGTTAATTTACATAATAAGGATTGCTAACAGTTTATATATAAGTAATTTTAGTTGTCAGACATTTATAAATATCTTCATAAAAATTATAGTAAAAAATTCACCAAAATTTAACAAAGGTAAATGGAACTCAAATGAAAAAAATCTTAGATAATGCATTATTTCAGTGCTAAGCAGAATAAGTTACCCTTTCCTTAAATGCAGTTTACCTCAGACAAGGCACAAAGTATTAAGATACTGAATTTCCAATACTAGTCTAAAGACTAACATTTCTAGATCAAGGTATATGGCTAATAAGGTATACCATTTCATGGTGATGAATAATATAAAAATACTTTTTGCTCTAAGCAAAACACTGGGTGAAATTTCTAAACAAGACACTTCTACTAGGACTCCTCTCAGTTTTGTATTGTGCAGCAACACTTTTAGCACAACTTTCTCTATGCTCAGTTTTTAATTTTTCTAAATATACCAGACAAAAAACAACTCTCAAATGATGTGTACTAAATATGAAACCCTCCTGGTATTGAACAAAATATACAAAAGTAAATTAAATCTCTGCATATACTAGACTGTCAGAAGAGACAAGTTTTGTATTGAAGATGTCCATGGTCTTAGTAGCAAAATCAACTTTTCAAAGCAAAGGTCTTTACAATAAAGCAGCCAGTAATGAATGAAGAAAATTGTGTTTTTCAAACATGAGGTTTAAATTACATGTAGGTCATTTAAAACTGTGAAGAGCCACCCAAAACAGCTATTAGTCAAGGTTGGCTCATAACAATTTAAAACAGAACATACCAGAATGTAGTAACCAAGCAAGGTGCTTTGGGCCTGGGCTCCGGTCATATGGTATTGATTGCACCAGCATTCCAGCTCCAATCATGGCTGCAAAGGTCACACCAATTGTCTGAAAGACAAATACTATTAAGAAAAACTGATCCTTATATGAAAACAAAGCAGAAACCCATGGGTTTGAAGTACAATTAGTTACTTCTAATAAACAAGTCGTAAAAACATTAAAGATAATAAATCAAAGCTTTAGGCCGGGCATGGTGGCTCATCTCAGGTCAGTTTGAGACCAGCCTGACCAACGTGGTAAAACCCCATCTCCACCAAAAATACAAAAATCAGCCAGGTGGAGTTGTATGCGCCTGTAGTCCCAGCTACTCAGAAGGCTGAGGCAGAATTGCTTGAACCCAGAAGGTGGAATTTGGTGTGAGCCAAGATCATGCCACTGCACTCCAGCCGGGGTGACAGATCTAGACTCCATCTCAAAAAAAAAAAAAAAAAAAAAAAAAAAAAAGAAAAAGAAAACTTTTTTTTTAAAAAAATGAAAGCTTATATTTTTCTGGCACATTAAAGGCCCTAGGTTTATTTCAGATTATTTATTTTGGCCAAGTTAGCATGAGTGCCCCCTACTGCCATATATGAGGTCTTGCAGACAGTTTCAAATTCATGACTTAAGCTTGGCCTGACACCATATTTTTTAACAATTTTACTTTTGCTGGACAGAGGTGAAACAAAAACCCTTTAGGGATCCCATGATAATTAACTCTTAATTTAAAAACATATTTTTGTATAACACAAATAGCATTTTCTTTGAAATGTCACACTTACAAATTAGTTTTTAAAAAAGAAAAAATTGCATATAGCACATTGCTTTGAACTCCGTATTTGCTAAATGAAGACTTGGAAAAATAGAAAGTAGGTATCAGAGCACATGAGACATATGATTTTTTTTTTTTTTTTTTTTTTTTTGAGACAAAGTTTTGCTCTTGTTACCCAGGCTGGAGTGCAATGGCGCGATCTCAGCTCACCGCAACCTCCGCCTCCTGGGTTCAGGCAATTCTCCTGCCTCAGCCTCCTGAGTAGCTAGGATTACAGGCACAAGCCACCATGCCCAGCTAATTTTTTGTATTTTTAGTAGAGACAGGGTTTCACCATGTTGACCAGGATGGTCTCGATCTCTTGACCTCGTGATCCACCCGCCTCGGCCTCCCGAAGTGCTGGGATTACAGGCTTGAGCCACCGTGCCCGGCTGAGATATAAGATTCTATACTTCTACCCTTCTAGGTTTATGGATAATTTGGTCCTCAATCCTTTTTTTTGTAGACAGAATCTCCCTCTGTTGCCCAGGCTGGAGTGCAGTGGCATGATCTTGGTTCACTGAAACTTCCACCTCCTGGGTTCAGGCGATTCTTCCACCTCAGTCTCCTGAGTAGCTGGGACTACAGGTACATGCCACCAAGCCCGGCTGATTTTTGTATTTTAAGTACAGACAGGGTTTCACCATATTGGCCAGGCTGGTCTCAAACTCTTGACCTCATGATCCGCTAGCCTTGGCCTCCCAAAGTGCTAGGATTACAGGCATGGGCCACCATGCCTAGCCCCTCATTCCTTTTCTTTTTTTTCTTTTTTTTTTTTTTTTTTGAGACAGTTTCGTTCTTGTTACCCAGGCTGGAGTGCAATGGCGCAATCTCAGCTCACTGCAACCTCCACCTCCTGGGTTCAGGCAATTCTCCTGCCTCAGCCTCCTGAGTAGCTGGGATTACAGGCACGCGCCACCATGCCCAGCTAATTTTTTGTATTTTTAGTAGAGACGGGGTTTCACCATGTTGACCAGGATGGTCTCGATCTCTTGACCTCGTGATCCACCCGCCTGGGCCTCCCAAAGTGCTGGGATTACAGGCTTGAGCCACCGCGCCCGGCCTCTTTTTTCTTTTTTTTTTTGAGATGGAGTTTCGCTCGTTACCCAGGCTGGAGCGTAATGGCGTGATCTCGGCTCACCGCAACCTCTGCCTCCTGAGTTCAAGCAATTCTCCTGCCTCAGGCTCCCGAGTAGCTGGGACTACAGGCGTGCACCACCATGCCCAACTAATTTTTTGTATTTTTAGTAGAGACGGTGTTTCACCACGTTGACCAGCATGGTCTTGATCTCTTGACCTCGTGATCCACCTGCCTCAGCCTCCCAAAGTGCTGGGATTACAGGCGTGAGCCACCGTGCCCAGCCCCCTCATTCCTTTTCTTTGCATATCTTAGATTTCCAGTGTTATAATATTTAAATATTCATTTCGTATGACAAGAAATGTAATATATAATGGAAAAAAGACAGTGATAGTCTTCAAGAAATTTAAAGCAGAGATTACAGACTTGTAACCCTTGGACAAAATCAGGCAGCAGATGTTTTGTCTGGCAATCTATGAAAAAAAAAGAAAAAAAAAAAGAACATGGTGACCACTTTTAGTTGAGAAGGCTACTCTAGAGGTCAGTAACCTCTAGATGTCAATAATCTCCTGTGTGACACACCAGGCCTTCTCATCCGTATTATCTGTCTCACCCACGAACATCAAAATATTCAACTTCTGATATAAAGTACAGGTAAACAAAACAGCTGGTTTTGCCAAGTATGGGAAAACCTTAATAAACAAAAGCATAGTGAGCGGTGTGCAGTGGTATGTGCCTGTAGTGTCAGTTACTTGGGAGGCTGAGGAGGGAGGAATAACTTGAGCCCAGGAATTGAAGTCCAGCCTCAGCAAACATAGAGACCAAGTCTCTTATTTTTAAAAAGTATTAAAAAGAAAGCATATCAATCGTCACTCCAACATTTTCTAATGAGAAATAATTACTATAAACTAATTCACACTTTTGGGATATTTACTGCAATTAAAATTTTTTAAGCTCTTTTATGATCCAGTCTCACTTCAAACTCTGCATTCCAACCATACTGAACTGGCAGGGTTGCCAACATGCCCCAGATTCAGACCATCATGCCTAAGAATACCTCCCCCTTCCACATCTGATGGACTTACTGAGATACTGCCTCTTCATCTCAAAAACTTTTTTTCTTTTTTTTTTTTTTTAAATAAAGATGGGATTTCACCATGTTGGTCAGGCTGGTCTTGAACTCCCAACCTCAAGTGATCCACCCACCTTGGCCTCCAAAGGGCCTGGATTACAGGCGTGAGCCACCACGCCCGGCCTTCAAAAGCTTTTTCTAGTAGGTACCCTGGCTGCCCAGGAGCAGGGTGAGATACCTCTCCTCAGAAGCTCTTGGGACAAACTGACATTATCAGTGTGTCTATGTGTGTGTTTGTATATGTATGTCTGTCATCCCTAAAACGTTCTACCTTCATCTCTGTAGCACTTGCCTTTGGCTTTCCCAAGTATTTTCTATATTATTAACAGTGGAAGAGGGTAATCTTTTGCTCAGACTGAGGATATGATCCAAACGCAAAACTTCTTTGAAGCCTCATTTTAGGTAAATATTGTCATAGTTATTACAAAAGTATTGTTTTAAACAACTTGCTTTTGATTAAAATTGACATTTCCAGTGAGAACATTCTGTGTCTTCGTGAACCTGTGTTGGGAGATTCATGACATCTACGTGAAAAGCATGATCCTAAAAATATATAAATGTCCAAGTGGCGATGCTACCGTAAATGGTTATCCTTTAGTAAAGTACAATACAGTGGAAATATTACGGATTTCAGTTCCCTATGTGGGGAGTCAGTATTCTAGTAGGTACTCTGGCTGCCCAGTTACATGAACTCTCCTTCCCCTCCAGTCTCACATTCTGCTCTAGTTCAGGTTCTTATCATGCCTCATTTCAGATCCTACAAAGGCACAGCTGGTACATCTGCTCCATGCCTCTTCCACATTAGTTCTTAAAACTGAAATATAAATCACACTTTTGTTGTTCCACTATCTTCAATGGCCTGCGAATGCTTAGCAGGTTCTCTCCACAGCTTGACAATCATATCCTTTCTTCTTTTTTTTAATATGGGGTTTCACCATGCTGGCCAGGCTGGTCTCAAACTCCTGACCTCAACCCACCTTGGCCTCCCAAAGTGCTGAGATTACAGGCGTGAGCCACCACGCCTGGCCTTGACAATCATATCATTTCTAACCACGTCTTCTTCACACTCCAGACCTGAAACACTTGAACTTTCTTCCAAGGGGATGTAAGTCACCTCTAAAATTGGGGTTTCTTACCTCCTCTTTGCTTAAACTGTTTGGTACCACTGGACTACCCTTGTCCAGTTTTATAAAATTTTAGTATTTCGTATTTGTTTAAAAATTATAGACAGTGTTGGCTGGGTGCGGTGGCTCAAGCCTGTAATCCCAGCACTTTGGGAGGCCGAAGCGGGTGGATAACTTGAGGTCAGGAGTTCGAGACCAGTCTGACCAATACGGTGAAACCTCATCTCCATTTATATTTAAAAAAAAAAAAAAGAATTTCCTAGGCTCAAGCAAACCTTCTGCCTTGGCCTCCCAAAATGCTGGGATTCCAGGTGTGAGCTACGGCGCCCGGCCCTCTTGTCTACTTCTAAAATAAATGAAATATGTTAGCCTTCAACAATCCTGATAAAATAAATGTCTCCTTCATGGACCTTGCCTAATAATGCAAAGACAGAAACTCTCAACTGACTTTGCACTTTCTATTTCTTATTGCGTATCTGTGCCACTTATTCCAGTTCATCTCTTCTGCCAAATAATAGGAGAATAGGGGACACATATTCATATTCTGGTATCTAGCAAAATAACAAGTGCTCAAGAGAAACTTATTGAATTTACTTTTATTTATTTATTTAAAGATGGGGTTTCTCCATGATGGCCAGGCTGGTCTTGAACTCCTGACCTCAGGTGATCCACCCACCTCAGCCTCCCAAAGTGCTAGGATTACAGGCGTGAGCCACCACGCCTGGCAAGAAACTCATTGAATTAAAAAAAAAAATTTTCTATAAGGCCAAGATCTTATGAATAACAGTAGCCGCACTATTCTAATCTTAACTGCATAAAATGATTAGGTCTTTGTGATGGGCATTTCCCTCTGACTTCTAAGATGATTTTGCATTTGCTTTTTTTTTTTTTTAGTAAACTGCTTAAAAAAAAAAAAAAAGAGATTGGCATCTGCTGTTAAACAAGAACATTGTTCTTCTAAGTCTGATTTCTAACTCCTCTGGTATTCGAACACATGTTTAATAAAGAATAACAGCTGACCTACCTGGAATGCACTTCCTACTTTTCTCAGCTGCACTAATACAGGTGGAATATCTGTTATCAGAAATGCTTGGGACTAGAAGTGTTTCAGATTTCAACTTTCAGACTATTTACATTACACTTCATTGTTACTAGGGTTCAGGATCCCTAATCTAAAAACCCAAAATCAGAAATGCTACAATTTTCTTTGAGCATCATGTTGACACAAATGTTTTGGATTTGGCCGGGCGCGGTGGCTCAAGCCTGTAATCCCAGCACTTTGGGAGGCCAAGGCAGGTGGATCACGAGGTCAAGAGATCGAGACCATCCTGGTCAACATGGTGAAACCCCGTCTCTACTAAAAATACAAAAAATTAGCTGGGCATGGTGGCGCGTGCCTGTAATCCCAGCTACTCAGGAGGCTGAGACAGGAGAATTGCCGGAACCCAGGAGGTGGAGGTTGCGGTGAGCCGAGATCGCGCCATTGCACTCCAGCCTGGGCAAGAGTGAAATTCCGTCTCAAAAAAAAAAAAAAAAAAAAAAAAAAAAGTTTTGGATTTTGGAGCATTTCTGGATTTCAAATTAGGGATGATCAAACTGTAATTCATACATTAATTGGACAAAAACTTGTTCAATACAGTGTTCTTTCCATTTAATACCCCTTCCCTCCAATATATTTCATCTAATCTTTTGATCTTTAGAAGAAAAACAAACATAGCTGACTTACCACCCAAGAGCCTTTCATCATAAAGTTCATGAGAACAGGCGTTCTGCTTAGTGCCATGGCAGACAAAGCTGTTAAACCAATACTTCCTGCTAAGTACATATAGGTGGAATGAATTCTATCCTTCACATACTGAGGCCAAATTCTGTAAGAAACATGACATGGTTCATTTATGAAATTACAGATTCGGTATCTGGTTGAGTCATATACCGGCTGGGTGACCTTGAGATAGGTCACTTATACTTTAAAATGTTATTCACTTCATTTCTTATGGAAATAATTATGCACACTTGGGAGTTACTGCAAAGATTAAATGAGATAAAACATACAAGCACTTGACACAAACAAAAAGCAACATATTTTCTCCTTGCTTAAACACACATAACCTTGCTAAATGATTTTTATTAAGATTTGAATAAATGTCAAGAAAGCAAGAAGAGATTCTCTATTTATGTGTATACAGGGATAAAGACTAGACACAAAACATTCCAAAGCGACTAAAGATAGGATGTTTTAAGGCTGGAGTTGTTTAGGAACAATTTACTTACACAGCCTTTTCAAGAGCTCCAATCTCATTAGACATTCCCAAGCCATAGTAGCACAGTGTTCCAAGACCAACAGCAGCTCCTCCAGCAACAAACCATCTTCCCATCTGATCAACTGCAGAACACAGAAGGAAACGCAGGTTAATACTGGCATGTCTGGACAAAGCCTTTAAAATATTTATGAAGGGAATCATATCAGGTACCATATTCAGGAACAGCCATAATTAGTGCACACGGGGTGGCCTCAAGATTAGGTAACCAGCAGAAAAAAACACCCCTGAAACAAAGGTGTAATAATCAGTACAAAAAGGAAAGGATCAGACTTGGTGAATCTTCAAACTCACTCCAACAATATTTGAGTGGGGAATATATCTATAGATGAGGAGTTACTTCTGTGATACATATTATTTTATTAATAAGACGTTGAAGTATATTCACATGACATTCTTACAAAGTAAAAAACGAGAAGAAAATGTTAATAGGCATAACCACACTGCATGGTATTAACACAGATGATGCTTTACATGGAAATCAAGAAAAAAGAGAAAAAAATATAATTAGTGTTTATGCAGCAGAATCAAGTGAGAGGATGCCTCCATTTTAGGGTACTGAGACACAACTAACTTATCAATTCTAACTCAATAGAGGTATTCATAAAGAGCATCTTATTCTTTGTCTAAATTTGTTTACTAAGAATATTACTAGGCTGTCACTATATAATTTGCATGATTTGGTCTCTAGGGTCAATTCAGAAAGAAATGACCCGAAGGATACCGGTTAGGGCTCTCTCCCACTGTAAAAACATTTTGCAAGATTGCTAAGGAGCAGTGGTATTCTTTGATTGGCTTTAGGATGATTAACAATCCAGTTTCTGAACTTGCAAAAGTTCACATCCAAACTGGCAATATATTTAAGTACTGGCCTCCTGAGGCCCTATGTGAGCAGTCAGTTAAAGGATTCTTCTTGGACAGCTAGGCTTTTATTAACAACTGTATGTTGGTGATTTATTCTTAATCTGAAACATAAACAAATATATGCTTGAATGAGGATTCTATACACTTAAAATGAAATTTCTCAACAGTCTATACCTTTTGGACCATGGCATATTAATTAATCCTTTTCTTTAAAAAAAAAAAAAAAAAAAAAAAAAGGCCGGGCATGGTGGCTCACGTCTATAATCCCAGCACTCTGGGAGGCTGACGTGGGTAGATCACGAGTTCAAGAGATTGAGACCATCCTGGTCAACAAGGTGAAACCCCGCCTCTACTAAAAATATAAAAATTAGGGCCGGGCGCGGTGGCTCATGCCTGTAATCCCAGCACTCTGGGAGGCCAAGGTGGGTGAATCACAAGGTCGAGAGATCGAGACCATCCTGGTCAACATGATGAAACCCCGTCTCTACTAAAAATACAAAAAATGAGCTGGGCATGGTGGCGCGTGCCTGTAATCCCAGCTACTCAGGAGGCTGAAGCAGGAGAACTGCCTGAATCCAGGAGGCGGAGGTTGTGCTGAGCCGAGATTGTGCCATTGCACTCCAGCCTGGGTAATGAGCGAAACTCCGTCTCCAAAAAAAAATATATAAAACTTAGCTGGGCATGGTGGTGCGCGCCTGTAGTCCCAGCTACTCAGGAGGCTGAGGCAGGAGAATTGCTTGAGCCCGGGAGGCAGAGGTTGCAGTGAGCCAAGATCGTGCCATTGCACTCCAGTCTGGGTAACAAGAGTGAAACTCTGTCTCAAAAAAAAAGGAAAGTAAAATTTCCACTGGAAGAAATATGACTGATAACCACTGAATCCAGTGCAAAGTACCAAACTTTTCTGGGTCATCAGATCTCTGAGAATAATAACGTGGTCTTCTCAGAAAATGCACAACTACATATATTTTTAGGAAGTTGTGCATGGATCTCTTAAAACATATCCATAGATTCCAGGTTAAAAACTACAGACAGCCACCTACTTTTAAATATTTTTTCCATTGATGGTTCCAATGCTGCCTCTTTGAGTTCTTGGCCAGTTCTCCCACGCCGGATCCCAATTCTTGTTTTGGTGGCATATTCCTGACATACATGCAAACAAAGACACATACGACCCACATGAAAATAGAATGTTAGTAAAATAAAATGCAAGCTCTCTTTGGTGCGTTCTATATACGTAACTTCACTATGGAAATTTATTAGCCAACCTAAAAAATTAAATGTAAAAATAAAATAAATAAATGTAGATCTTACCTGTGTTCCACCTTTGGAAGTAATTCATTATATTCTTCTTAGTTTCAACTTCAGAAAAAATGTTTCTTTTACAAACTAGAGATTTACATACCTAGAACTGTTATATTTTAAATCCTAATCAAATATCAAGATGAGAATCTATTTGCATTTTTAAGAAATGCATTCTATAAGCATTATTAGCTATATTGTGTCATCTGAGTTAGGAACTCAATAAAGCCATCCTTCCTTAAAATGAAGCTAAGAAGAGGGAAGACTACTACTGCCATTTTGGCTCTTTTTCAACAGTGAAACAGTTAATTTAAAAAAGTCTCCTTCTAGCTTCTGTATATTGTCCTCATTACCTCACACTTCAAATCTTATAATTTAGGCCGGGCGCGGTGGCTCAAGCCTGTAATCCCAGCACTTTGGGAGGCCGAGGCGGGTGGATCACGAGGTTGAGAGATCGAGACCATCCTGGTCAACATGGTGAAACCCCGTCTCCACTAAAAATACAAAAAACTAGCTGGGCGTGGTGGCGCGTGCCTGTAATCCCAGCGATTTAGGAGGCTGAGACAGGAGAGTTGCCTGAGCCCAGGAGGCGGAGGTTGCGGTGAGCCGAGATCACGCCATTGCACTCCAGCCTGGGTAACAAGAGCGAAACTCCGTCTCAAAAAAAAAAAAAAAAAAAACTTATAATTTAAATGCTAGTAGAGAAATCTATTGTAAAAGAAGATGGATTTCTTTCTAACCTGACAGATACTATCAATCTTGAAATAAGAGCTGAAATACGGCCGGGCACGGTGGCTCAAGCCAGTAATTCCAGCACTTTGGGAGGCAGAGGCAGGTGGATCACGAGGTCAAGAGATCGAGACCATCCTGGTCAACATGGTGAAACCCCGTCTCTACTAAAAATACAAAACATTAGCTGGGCATGGTGGCACGTGTCTGTAATCCCAGCTACTCAGGAGGCTGAGGCAGGAGAATTGCCTGAACCCAGGAGGTGGAGGTTGCGGTGAGCCGAGATCGCGCCATTGCACCCCAGCGTGGTGGGTAACAAGAGCGAAACTCCATCTCAAACAGAAAAAAAAAAAAAAAAAAAAAAGAGCTGAAATAATATCTTTAATAACTTATTAATAAGCTATTGGCCAAGTGGTAATATCCCCAGGTTCTTAAACTTCTGTGTGCTCCAGGATCTCCGTTACAGCATATAACTCTGAATCCCTCACAATGTACTCTAAATTTTCTAAATGAGAAACTCCAGAAGCTGTAAGCAAAAGTCAGAGTTACAGAAACTAATTTTCTATTCCATGTGGAATAAGAAGGGAATAGAATGATAAAAACTAATGGGGAGAAAGAGCTGATTGGCGGTGTAATCAGGGCTAATTCATACATAACTCACTAAAGGCAGAGAGGCCATCCTTTGCTAAAAAGAAAGGGCACAAATAGAAAAGGCAGTAATATAGTAAACATTCAGATTATCTTTACCCTGCTGGGTGTTAACAGCCATTGATTCTTCGTGATGGAATTCTTCACGATGGAATTCTTCGCAACAGGGGAGGCCTTGGTGAAAGCTGAATGCAAAACCCTAGAAGGTAGTGTCCGGAGACACACAAGCCTTGCAGCCAGCATGGTGTTGCACCAGGTCTACCAAGCAGATCTGAAATGCTAGTAAGAAAGGCAAAAACAACCAAAAAAAGAAAACCAAAACAACCCATTAACCAATTAAGAGAAGGACATACAAGAGTCTGAGTCAAGAAGGAACATATTATATTTTAGTAGAAAAGGAAATAAAGCAATCTTTTTAATCTTCAGTAATAAATTCTTTGCCCATCCCTTGTAATTCAAGAAACCCATCTGAGAACTCAGCTGAGGATGGAGCAACAAATTAAGTTTAAGTCCCAGTTTGAGCAATAACAGGATAGACGACTGCAAAAACTACGTGTAACACAGAATGGCTATTAATAACTGAACGTAATTACAGGGTCTGTGACAGCTTCTACAAATGTAGTTCTGGCTTAAGATTTATACCAGTATTCAGTGAAAAAATTATTTAAAAGAATCTACGTAACTTTTGGGCAGAGGAATAATGTCATCCAAAGAAAGCATGAATAGCTCCTCAAGGTTATACTGCATTACAAGGTTAAAAGATATTAAAGAAGCCCAACTATATGAATTTCAGCTAATCATACCAAATAGTACTTTCCTTCAACATAAGATATAAAAATATTCTAAGTTAACCTATTCTATATGCTCTACTATAATGTGTAAAGGACATTTAGTCTTTCAAACTAAACTCAGTTACCAATCAGGTTTCCCTTAGATTCCTTTAATGGTGTCTTCAAAAAAAAAGCATGCTAAAAACTGGATTCTCTTAGCTCCAGGGCACCTTGTACTAGATGGGTGGTTAACCAGAAGTCAGCTGACCGTGTTTCTGTAATGCTCAATTAATGTGAGGTGACTATGATAGGCCAGAATGACATGACAAGTGTAAGCCAACTGGGGCTACCAGCCCATCTCTGCCAATGATACGTAGTGAATTTCAGACAGGTGACTATCCTTCCGGGTCCATTTCCCCATCTGTAACTTAAGACAATGGTTCTCAGTGTTCCGACTCCAGTGTTGACCTTAGGATTACCTGCTTGAAAGTGCCCGATACATCTTAAAATGTAGGCTCCTGGGTCTTACTTTGCTCCTAATGGTTGTACCTCTAGGAATAATAGGACCAAAAATATATGTTTTGACGAACACTCCAAAAGCTAAGACCTATTGCTTTAAGATACCTGAGTGTCCTAGCTCAGCAACCGAACTATGAAGGGTCTTAATGCTCGGCACCTGGCCTATGGGAAAACACTCAGCGCGTCTGGAACTTTCGTGCCATTACATCATCTCAACCTATAGCTGTCCTGTAACTTCCTCGGTACTCAGCCCACTGGTCGGGATCGAAGAGGTCCAGCTCAGAGTGACCCCTATGTGGCGGAACAGCCCAGAGTGGGAATCCCTGCTTCCGACACGTTAGAGGTGACCTTGTGAGGTAGACAAATCTCTTTTTCTTTTCTTTTTTTTTTTTGAGACGGAGTTTCGCTCTTGTTACCCAGGCTGGAGTGCAATGGCGCGATCTTGGCTCACCGCAACCTCCGCCTCCTGGGTTCAGGCAATTCTCCTGCCTCAGCCTCCTGAGTAGCTGGGATTACAGGCACGCGCCGCCATGCCCAGCTAATGTTTTGTATTTTTAGTAGAGACGGGGTTTCACCATGTTGACCAGGATGGTCTCGATCTCTTGACCTCGTGATCCACCCGCCTCGGTCTCCCAAAGTGCTGGGATGACAGGCGTGAGCCACCGCGCCCGGCAAGGTAGACAAATCTCAAGACTCAGATACCAAATGGGGAAAATGCTACCGACCTTAACCTAAGGGCTCAGGCCTCTGTGAGCATTGATGAGTTTGGGTGCCTGGTCCCCGAGAAAGTTAACCCAGACCGCTAGACTCGGTGAGAACCCGGCAGCAACCCTCCACCGCAACGCAAAACCCCTCTGCCCCTGCCCCAGGGGCCGCTACCAGCGCAGCGACAGCCTGGCCGCAAGAATGACTCAGCGCCTTGTCGCTCGGGGAGAGAAACACAGGAACAGTGAGCCTTTGCCCGCCTGGCTCGGACGTGCGGCCGCCGCCCTCTCCACCGGGTTACCCACAGGACCGCGACACTGGCGCGCAGGCCGGCCCTGACGCAGCTAGCAGCATCGCCGCCTCCAGCCCTACCCAGCCGCACCCAACGGTCCCGTGAGGCCAGCTGTAGGGAGCACCCGGGATCCCGGGCGCCCGCAGGCCAGCGGGAGCAGTACCTCGGTCCCCCTGTCACCTCTGCCGGGCAGTTTCCTTTCTGGGCTGGCGAAGCCCGCACTCCACCTACCCGGTCCCCCGCACGCTCCTTACGCCCTGAACGCGCACAGTTCCTCCGGCGTACTGCGTGAGGTAAATAGTACGAGCAACCAATCACCGTCAGGCCTTTGTCGGAAAGGCGGGCACAGTGGGAGAGGCGGAGTTCCGGTTTGCGGAGGCGGGGTTCCGAGTTGGTGGTGCGAGGCAGTTACGGATTGTTGCTGGTAACGTCATAGTCAGCGTCCATTTTGAGTGTGGGCAAGGGAGTCGTTCGGCCATCTTTGTTCTGGACAGCGGAGCGCTTGCTTTTTTCTTTAACCTTTTCACTCGCCGCAGGTATGATAATTATGTAAAAATTGAAAGAAAGTAGTGTTTGAGTTGAAAATTATTTTGTTTCCCCATTTTTTTTTCTTTTCGAAGGCCTTTTTGTGCCTTAATGTATTCTGAGAGAAATATCGTTCCAAATGTGGCTGCTTCTGACCGGAGTCGACCGGTTTGGGTCTCACGCTAAAGGTTAGACGGGGGAATCCAGAAGATTTTTTTCTAGATTGTTTTTTCATTGCTTTGTGACATTCCCGTTCACATTTGTAGTAGGCCTGACAGGCCTGATAACAGTCGCCTCTGCTTTGCATCTGGGTTGCTCTGACGACCAGGATGTTTCCGTTGCCCGTAATTTGATAGGTGAAGAGCTAGTTCTGGCGCGAGGGAGTTACTTTTTTTTTTTTTTTTTTTCCCACTCTCCCTCTGCGGCAAATACTGAAGGCTCAACTTGGTACCAAGCTCTGTTCTAGAAATACATACAAATGAATCCAACACGTGCTACCACTATTTTGGCAAAAAAAAAAAAAAAAAAATCCTTGCCCTGTGGTTTTACTTTCTGGTGGAGATAGAACATAGAAAAAATACGTTCGATGTGATGACTTTTTTTTTTTTTTTGAGACGGAGACTTGCTCTGCCATCCAGGCCGGAATGCAGTGGCATGATCTCGGCTCACTGCAACCTCCGCCTCCCGGGTTCAAGCGATTCTCCTGCTTCAGCCTCCTGAGTAGTTGGGATTACAGGGGCACACCACCACGCCCAACTAGTGTTTTTGTTTTGTTTTGTTTTGTATTTTTTGAGACCGAGTTTCGCTCTTGTTTCCCAGGCTGGAGTGCAATGTCACGAGCTCGGCTCACCACAGCCTCCGCCTCCTGGGTTCAGGCAATTCTCCTGCCTCAGCCTCCTGAGTAGCTGGGATTACAGGCACGCGCCACCATGCCCGGCTAATTTTTTTGTATTTTTAGTAGAGATGGGGTTTCACTATGCTGACCAGGACGGTCTCGATCTCTTGACCTCGTGATCCACCCGCCTCGGCCTCCCAAAGTGCTGAGATTACAGGCTTGAGCCACCGCGCCCCGCCCTAGTTTTTGTATTTTTAAGTGGAGACCCGGTCTTGCCATTTTGGTCAGGCTAGTCTCAAACTCTTGACTTCAGGTGATCTGCCTGCCTTGGCCTCCGAAAGTGCTGGGATTACAGGCATAACCCACTATGCCCAGTAGGTGGTAGCTATTAATACTGCTAAGAAAAAGCGGAGTACGGCCGGGCGCGGTGGCTCTTGCCTGTAATCCCAGCGCTTTGGGAGGCCAAGGCGGGTGGATCACAAGGTCAAGAGATCGAGACCATCCTGGTCAACATGGTGAAACCCCGTCTCTACTAAAAATACAAAAAAAAGTAGCTGGGCATGGTGGCATATGCCTGTAATCCAAGCTACTCAGGAGGCTGAGGCAGAATTGCCTGAACCCAGGAGGCGGAGGTTGCGGTGAGCCGAGATCGCGCCATTGCACTCCAGCCTGGGTAATAAGAGCGAAAACTCCGTCTCAAAAAAAAAAAAAAAAAAAAAAAAAAAAGTGGAGTAAAACCCTGGAGGGGTGCTATTTTAGATAAGGTGATTAACATGCAAAATTCATGAACCTTTATCTGCTAAGCAGTAGTTAATTGTGATTTATGATTCCTAACCTTAACAAAAGACTTGCTTTCTATATGGATGATAAAAGAGTCTGGCAGCAACACAATTCTTATCTCTCTAAGCTGAAAATGGCAGGAAAACACTAGAGAAATCTCACTTGTGAAACTGAACAGATTAAGCATGATCAATTTAATCTTTCTTTCAATCTATGCCCAATTTGATTAGCTAGCAAATGGGTTTTCTGTTTGGCTCCTTCCCTGCTAGTCTTTTTTTCTAGAGCTTCTGTTAACAGCAAAGAGAAAGGATTTACAACAAAGTACCAGAATAAAAAATCCTGACATTAATGACTCAAGATTTCTTCAAGATTCATCTTAAAGCTTATTTTCTCCATATTGAAAGGAAAATTCCCTGATTTCGTATTTTCCTTTCTCAAAGGGCCTATATTGTTGTTTCCACAGGTGTCAGATATTTCGAGGCAGGGGAAGAATCTGGTCACATTGTTGGGAAAGATATGCCCTTGTGGAAGTGTTGGAAGGGAGAGGTTCCATGTACCAGAAGACCAATTAGGAATTTATTATAGTTGTTCAGGCAAAAGGTGATAAAGGCTGGAATTAAGCCAGTAGAAAGACACAGAGGGGTTTATGATAGATATATTGCTGAAGTAGAGTTTGCAGGATTGAATGATCTATCAAATATAGCTATAAGAATGAGGGAAGCTCTCTGAGTTGGGTGGATAATTATATCATTACTTTATCAATAGGATACAGAGAGAGATGCAAAAGAGGGTAAGTACATACATAAAACTTAATTTGAAGTGTTAAATTGTTAAGCTGTCTGCTTGTAAGGTCTTAGAGCAAGCGTCTCCAAACTACCGCCCACAGGCCGAATGCGGCCCCCTGAGGCCATTTATCCAGCCCCCCCTCCCCCTCAGCACAGTATGTGGCAGCCCTCCAATGGTCTGAGGGACAGTGAACTGGCCCCCTGTGTAAAAAGTTGGGGGACGCCTGTCTTAGAGCATAGGAGAGTGGAAAGGACAAGATGGGAATGGTGGCACATGCATGTAGTCCCAGTTAGTGGGGAGGCAGCCCAGGAGCTTAAGGCCAGCCTGGGCAACATAGGATGACCCTGTCTTTAAAAATAAATAAGTAAATAAAAAAGAAAAGATGAGATTCATAAATCCCAAGACTATATATATGTCACTTTTTTTTATTTTGAGATGGAGTCTCACTCTGTTGCCCAGGCTGGAGTGCAGTGGCTCCATCTTGGCTCACTGCAACCTCTGCCTCCTGGGTTCAAGGGATTCTCCTGTCTCAGCCTCCCAGGTAGCTGGGAGTGCAGGTGCGTGCCGCCACGCACGGCTAATTTTTTGTATTTTCCATAGAGATGGGATTTCATGTGTTAGCCAGCATAGTCTCGATCTCCTGACCTCGTGATCCGCTTACCTCAGCCTTCCAAAGTGCTGGGATTACAGGTGTGAGCCACCATGCCCGGCCTAGGTCAGAGTTTCTATTGCAGGCTGCTGCTGAGTTCCTTATTCTCCACTTACTGGCTAAGTGGGATGTGCTGCATTATAGTGAAGAAAACTCAGAGCCAAGAAAAAAGGAGAAAATATTTTATTTACTTTGAGTTAAAATAAATGCTCTCACCCTGCCCCACTGCGCTTTCCCATCAGAAGATGTGGTGTGAGTGAAAGAGAGTTTGAAAGGGAGTTTGCTGTAGCTTTAACCTCTGCCCTCCCCGATGGGGAAGGTGCTTCTTCCTGATAGGTGACAGATGTTTCTGAATGTAGGGACCAACTGACAACTGCTTCTCATGTGGTTGCTAAGTGGCAGACAGCAGAGCAGGTAGGAAAGGGAGTAGATCTTCCCTGTCTTTGTCTTGTTTTCCCCCGGAATCTCCAAGGCCTAGATAAATACGAGAACGTGGTTGTGAGCACACATCTGTGTGTCTGCACCCTTCACGATGCTGCTCAGTAGTGAGGTGACACTAGAAATATGCGTGGGTGAGATGCCCAGATGGGCGCCAACAGACCATTTAGTGTACAACAAGGCAGAGCCATCTGACTTTGCTTGGGTGAAAGATCAAACTGTGCCGACCTCAACAGTTACATCCTGCCAGCCTCAGAAAGACAGTAAAGCCATGGGGACTGCTCCGTCTAGATTCTGCTCAACAGCAGCTGCATGACAATGCACTGACCAAGAGGTAGAGTGGAGGGACAGAGAACCCGCACTGTTCCCCTCCTGTTTAATGTAAATGTTTCTAATCCAGGTAGGGCCCAGGATAGGAGAAAAGGCTTTGAACTCCAATGTGACTGATGGTGATAAATCCTGAAACTGACAGATAAATTGTCAGACTGTTCTGAGCTTGCAGAATGGAATAAATAGGCTGTCTGCTCTAAACTGACGGGAGCCTTGAAAGTGTCATCGATGGCAGTTTAAAGAAAAATGTAGCTCAATTTTGCATTCACCTAACTGACAATTTCCCAATAAATACGCCTCACATATGTACAACTAAATGCTGTAAGTGGGCCGAAGGACAAGGTCATTAATGGGGTAGTATCTGTGGAGGGACAGACGTTGGCAGAAAATTGAGAATAGTGTCATGCTTCCTGGTCAGGTTTCCAACAGGAAACCAACATTCAGAAATTACAGAAGCTTTTCTTAAGAAAAATGTATTAGGCTGGTATTCAGAGTTAAACAACCAGAGTACCATTTCATAATTTTTAGTTACCCTTCTCTCTGTTTTTTTTTCAATAGCTTCAATTATCTTTCTTGAGGTGAATAAAATAGATTTTTATATATTATAGATACTATGTGTTCTAGGATACCTTCTTATATTCTATTTGTAATCTGCGTTTGTTAATGTCTCACTTTTTCCAGCCTCTGTATCATGTTGGATTAGTGTCTCACTTTAGTAGTTTATAATGTCTTCCTTACTGGTTTATAACAGATGGTTCTGAGCTCATTACTCTGTAAATATAGATCATATATTTATTTTTGGAGTGAATTCCTTTGTATCAGTCCCTGATGAAGCTTACCTGCCATGTTTGAAAATGTTCTTGTCAAATAGCAGCCCCAAAAAGCAGGAATCAGGAACAGATTTTACTATCTTCCCACATTTTATTTTTTTTTTAAA